GTCTCCAGCACAGGCGCGAGGCGTGCCCGCAGCATGTCACACAGGCTGCTCAGTATGTGAAGCAGATTGGGGAGGAGGCTGGTGAGCTCATGGCGAGATGCCTCTCCCCCTCTCCGTCTCTCTGCTTCCCTTGCGAGGAGGTTCCTCGGGAGGATCAGCTCAGGTTTGTCCGCGTTTTCCCTGGGTGGAGGTTTCGGGGCGCGGTCTTCGTCGACGGCTCGGCTTTCCCACCTTCAGGGGTTTAGTCGCGCAGGGTGGTCGGTCGTTCAGATCGACCCAGCTGGCAACTTGATCGGCGCCACGCACGGCGCGGCGCCGCTCCATGCGGCGCCAGGACAGGCGGTTCGGGACGGGGGGACTGGGGTTTCAGGGCGCCCCCTCAGTTCAGCGAATTGTCAGCCGACCACCCGCTGGAGGCCCACACGGATTGTTCAGGCGCGCATGGTTGTGCGACAGACTCCAGCATTGCCCCCTCGGCTTTCAGCCCTCGTCGTCACATGCGGGGTCTTTGGTGGAGCGGCGTCGGCAGATTGGCTTCTGCTTGTAAAGTAAAGGCCCACAGGAATCTAGCTGCCGCCACCTCAGACAATGAGGAATGGCTCATAAAAAAGGCAATGCGCTCGCTGATAAGTGGGTCAAGAGAGGAGCCCGCCTCTGGAACGTTTCTCAGGACCACTTGGATTGCGTCTCTGGGTGTGAAAGGATTGCCTCGGACATCGTGAAGTGGCAGAGTAGATGCCAAGAAGTTGTTGGGGAGCTCGAGCAGCCAGACGGGCGGGATCTTGTCGGTACTGCGGACGCAGTCTTGGGTGCTGATGCACCTCCGGGTCTAATTCAGGCATGTTTGGAAGAGGGTGTGGCGCCTTTCCAGGATCGGTCCTTGGCTGAGGGGGTCGCGTTTCCTAACCCCGCTCCGAGCCTGCATCCTCCTCCCACTGTGACAGGCTCTGCTGAACCAGGCGAGGTAGATGAGTCCTTTGTCTCCGCCTCAGGAGCCCCCCGGGTTGTCAGGGGCCGCTCGCTGGCGCGAGCCGCAGTCACCGACCACGGCCAGGACTTGACGGACCTGTTGTTCTGAAGAATTTGCGGGGCCTCTGCGCACGCGTCGGCGCGCGGTCGCAGAGAGGAGCGCCAGGGCTCCAAGCATCCTGGCCTCAAGACCCAGCGGTCTATGCTGAGGCGGGCGTTGTTCCCAGGGCACGCTCGTGGCGAAGCCAGGGTGGGCCCTGCCTTTGGACCGAACGTTGCGATGAAAGCTGTTTGGGGTCCTCTGCTGGGCGCTGGTGGGGGCTCTGCTGCTGCTGTTGCTGCGGGGAGCCTTGACAGCGAGTCTGTAGAGAGTCAGGTTTCGGCTGGCAGCCACATGGGCCCTGATTCCAGAGTTTCTGGTGCGGGGGGGAGTTTGCGCCTCCGTCGCTTTCGGAGCCTCAAGGCCGTCTCAGTCACCAAGTTGCATGGTTTCGCCTCGCCGGATGATCTTGTGCAGTGGGGGAGGTCGTGCCGGAGGTCTCAGAAGGAGGCACCCGAGCTTATCGACAGCGACTAAGCTCGAATTGCGCCGTGGGGCGAGGGGCACCATGACGTGCCCATGTTGTCAGTGCCCTCAGTACCCTCCTCCTCCCCCTCCTTCTCCTCCGTCTCCTCCTCCTCCCCTTCCCCCTCCTCCTCTTCTTCCTCCTCCCCATCCTCTTCCACCTGCGGCGAGGCAACGCCAAGATCATAGTCATAAGGCAATGTGCCTCTCGGGGACCTCTTGGGACTTTTCTTTGGGACTTTTCTTTGGGCCTTATTGGGGCATCCTGGGCCAGCTTGAGGCCATCTCGGTTGTTCTCGGGGCCCGTCCAGTGTGTCAAGGCTGGACCTAAAAGCTGGTTTGCTGGACGTCGGCTGTGTTTTGTTTTTCGTTTTGGCAGGGAGGCGCAGGAAAACAGGCAGGGCAACACGAAAAATATAACGAAAAACGGCGTTTAGGTCCAGCCCCGTTGGAGCTCTTCTTGAGTGGGGGCTGCGAGGGCCCGGGAGGAGCGCCGGTGACTCCCCCCCCTTAACTTCGGCTACACGTAAGAGCGACCCTTGGCCAGAGTGACCTTCAGTGTTGGCCCTAATGGTGTGGGACAGATTTTCTTGAGGAGTGCGCTCGGCCTCGTGTCGGCGCACGCTGCACCAGTCTGCGCTCGCATCAGAGCGCGCTTGATTCAGGGTGCGCCCTTCGCAATCGATCGCAACGCATGCACGGTGTATTCTTCCGCGTGTTTTGTTTGGCGAGGGGGGGCCCACTCGAGCGGGCGACGTGCTCTCCGCTTTGGGACTGGTCCCAAATCGTCCTGGAATAACTTTGATTAACTTCGGCTAGCTTTGACTAACTTTGAATAACTTTTCGCATTCCGCGCTTTACAATTCAATTCTTTACTATTGAAAGTTATTTGCGGCCTCGGGGGGGCCAAGTTTCGGCCCGGTTTCGGCCTTGACGCCGGACCCGGTCTGACGTCATCGCGATGCGGCCCGGCAGTGCCTGAACATTCCGCGGTGGCGCCCGATTACGTATGGCTTCGCAGAGCCCTCGGGCGGGTGTTCTGGGGCGCCCGGAACGAATTGGCGGAAGTCCGCAATTCCCTGCTGGCGCTAGGGATCTATCGAAGCGCGCCCCACCGATCGTTGATGCAATCCGACGGCCTCGGCTTGCGCGGTTGCTCCAGGCCCCCACGGGCCCCCCGAAGGCCGCGCACCAAAGGGCATTCTTGCCTAGGGTCACTCTTACGTTTCGTTTAACTGCATTTTGGACCTTGGGCAGGCCAGCCACAACTGGTCGGGTATAGCCAGGACCTGATGAGAGGGGGCCCGGTTAGTAGTAGGGCCCTGGAGCACTAAACCAGGTTTGCCGTACGTTGTGTGGTTTTTCGTGTGACGGCAGTTCCGGTGAGTGGAAGGGGCGGGGTGGGCGTCCCCCAGTACACATCAGCAAACCAGATCCCATTATAAACCAAGTTCTGCCAACGCCCGAACTGGGGGAGCTGTGGTCCTTACCCCCCCGGGGGACCCATCGATTTCGACACCCCTCTCGAGCGCTCGTCGATGCTATGGGTTCCCCCAGGGGGGGTGGGACCACAGTTCCCCCAGTCATGGCCGGTCGGCTGCGGGGGGCGGAGAGGGGAATGGACGGCAGCTAAGTGTTTCGCACGCTTTTCCACCTTTGGCAAGCAGGAGTCGACGGACGGTCAGAAATGTAGCAAAAAAGGACCCCCATGTTTCAAAGGAACCACCCGCCATCGGCAGAATTGATTCACTGAGTGAATGCCAGACGAAACTACTTCAAGGAAGTCGCACGCTGCAGTCCCACGCTGCAGCGAGCCGTTGCGCGTTTGTTTAAGTGTTCAAAACACATGCGAACAGCGTCAAGGTGAGAGCCCCATTCTGAGCCGGTCTGTACCAAGTAAAACCGTCCGTCGTTGTTTGCTATCGCCACGCGAGGAGGCCTGGCCTTCGAGCAATAATTCGGGCCTCCAGCGACCGTTGTGAACGATCTGGACGCCCTCGGAGCCCCGAGCCCCTGTAGTTTTTTGTTTCCATCCTGAGCCGTACGATGATGATCCCAGGGCCTGGAGGCCGAAAATTACAAGACACCCTCCGTTGTGATTTTATCGCTACGCAAGGAGACCTGACCTACTGATCCAAACGACTTGCCTACTCACTAAACTACGGCTCTGCATTCTTACTGACCTTCGTGACCTGCTTGCCGACATGGCCGCAAGAAAAAGACGGAATCTGCGAGTCGGCGTCACGGACACACACACCCGAACGCCGCGCGCGCGTCGAGAAATTTTGCAGCAGAAGCTCCGCGACGGGCGCGCTCTGGCCATACAGCTCGGGAAACGATCTGCTATACGACGGCTGTACTATCTGTTCGGGTCGGACGCGCGCCTCTAAGGAGGACACGTATCGGCGGCGAGCCTGGGGGGAAGTGCGAAAGGGCAGGCCTTCTCAGAAGGATCGGAAGTCCCCAGGCTTTCTGAGAAGTTCTTTTCGTCCCCCCCGAAGACACGCGAAAAAACCTCTCTGAAGGCGCGAGGGTTTCTGAGATCTTCTCCTTCTCGCTTCCCCCCTCGCTCGCTGCCGAACACAGTACTAGTACAGCGGGCGGCTTGAAGAAAAAACACTTACTTTTCAAGAGGGGCTCGGTCGTCTCTCAGGCTTGCATGCGTGATTGATCGCTCTTCATGCGTCATGTATTACGTATCGTTTCTTGTGCGTTACCCTTGGGAAAAAAGGGGCCTTCGTTCCTTATGGATCGTTCCTTAGGTCGGGCCGATGACTGTACAGAGGGGGCGCGCATCAAGAATCCAGATGCTGTCCGTCAGGGTATCCTTGGCTTCTTCGCTCCTCGCGCTGCGCGGTGATTTCCCGCAGCCGTTGAGGGAGCTGTTGCGTTCAGGGTGCCCTCAGGTCCCTCCTCAGGTGCACCTCGCGCACGGGCTCTCAGGCTTGGGTCTCTTGCGAGGCCTTCTTGCGGCCGCGCCCGCACTGTATGCCCTTGTGCGTTCCTTGGGAAACCAGCCTGGGGACCGCCCCCGCCCGCGAGGCACCGAGCGCGCAGCCGCCGCCCCCCGTGCGGTCCCTGCCCACGCTCCTGGGAGCCGCGCCGCCCGGCGGCCCGGCCACGCTGCCGCCGCGTGTGCTGAAGACGCACTCCCCGGCCTCGCCCACGTCGGCGATCGCGGGAGGAGGGAGGGAGGGAGGAGAGGGAGGAGGAGAAGGGGGGAGGAGGAGGAGGAGGAGGAGGAGGAGGAGGAGGAGGAGGAGGAGGAGGGAAGGGAGGAGGAATAGGAGGAAAAGGGAGGAGGACGAGGAAAAGGGAGGAGGGAGGAGGGAGGCGGGAGGAGGAGGGGGCAGGAGGAGGACGACGAGGAGGAGGAGGGATTAGAAGGAGGACGAGGAGGAGGAGGAGGAGGAGGAGGCCAAGGTCAGAGTTTGTGTATGCTCTGGCCGTCGTTCGTCCCCCGGAGGCTTCCCGGCTGCCGCTGCAGGTGCCGAAGACGCACTTCCCCGCCTCGCCCACATCGGCGTTCGGGGGGAGAAAGGACGACGACGTCGCTCGAGGATGTTTTTCATCGGCCTCGGCATGGGGGCCCACTCGTCGTCGGACCTGGGGCAGGCAAAAATAAGCGATCCAGGACGAAAAACAAGACACGACCAGGACACGCCCCCGGTTTGGGCAGAGCCTGGCCAGGAGGAGGAGGGGGAGGAGGAGCAGCAGATGGGGGAGGAGGAGGAGGATGGTCGACTACACGTAAGAGCGACCTCTTGCTGAAGTGGCCTTTGGTGCAGGCCCAATGGTGCACCCCGATCGTTGAATGCGATGCGAAGCAGCGGCTCGCGCGCCTGGCGGTGTCCCCAAAGGGCCCCCCCCGTGGCCGCGCATCGAAGGTCACTCGTGCTTACGGTTACCTCTTGCGTGTAGCCAAGATGGAGATGAGAAGGGTGAGGAGAGGAGGAGGAGGAGGAGGAGGACGAGGACGAGGACGAGGACGAGGACGAGGACGAGTAGGAGGAGGAGGAGGGTCGATGTTCGAGTTTCGTTTGGCAGTTTCGGGCTTGTGGCTGCGGAAAGCCTCAGTCTGAAGACATCCTTCGCCCCCCCCCCTCCTCCTCCTCCTCCTCCTCCTCCTCCTCCTCCTCCTCCTCCTCCAGTAAAGTAAATATGCTCCTCTCCGCATAATACTCAAGTAGAAGATAACTTAGAGTGCATGCATCGAACTGTCCGCGTGCACTGACGCTGCATGTCTGCAGCTGTGAGACTGCTCAAACCAGCCGAACTCGGCTGGCAGGAGAGAAAAAGAGCGCGCTGGGGGGCGCGGGCGATCTGTCGTCGTCCGTCCTCGGCCTTCCTCCTCCCTTCCTATTCCTGATCGAGTGGTTTAGCTTAACGGATATCTGTTTTATCAATGTCTCATCTCGCCTCCGCGCTCCCTGAGCATAGTGAACATGAGATCTCATGTCCTTTTGTCATCTTACCCCGATTCTCAGAGGAAAGACTGGCTATCAGCCGAAACGCGCGACTCAGTCGACGCGGGGCCATCATATACAAAAGGGAATATTCAAGCCGTGCCCCGCGATTCAGTCGCTGCGGGTGAGAGCTACGATAAGACTGACATCGTCCCTAATATCTCGAGAAGCGCAGATTGGCGCGTTGAACAACATGATGGACACGAAGCAGATACAATCGGTCTTATTCAAGACCGAATCCCTCCTTCGACAATCGCCGATCGGGCCACCAGGGGGGGAAATACTAATGGGATAACCGAAATGTCGGTGGACATGCCCACAGTAGGGGTTCCGATAGGTGATCGTGAGCAAACCCCTGACCCTCACGGGCGAGGAGGCGTCACGCCAAGGCCCAGAAGAGGCGCATGTTCTTCCAGGTTAAGTGCCAACTCGACGGAGTCGATAAGTCCCATTCAGAATGCTCCACAGACTATCGCCATTGCCGCTGGCGAAGCCAGTCGGCCAGGAGAAGCCCAAGGGAATCCGAGTGCGTATCCTAACATCCCCGTAGATTGGGTGGGCATGCACATTACGGCCCCAGCACCTACAGCACTTAACGGACAATTTGGCCAGGATAGCGACGATCCATTGGACAAAGATCACGAAATATACTCCATGGAACAAAGTTTTGATAGTATCAACAATGATATTTTCCTGAGCCGAGCGTTGTCCGTAATGTTGGATGAGGACATCCCTGCTCGTGACAAAAGCTGGTCTCCAGATGGATCCGATGAAGACACTAGTATCCTGACGCCTCAGGCGGACAGGTCGGAGACTCAAGCGAAGCATGAGAGGGAGTCCGCCGGGCGAACGCCTGCGCCTAATCTCAAGAAACAACGGAAGGAGGACTATGAGCTAAACGTCTCGCCATTAAAAGAAGGCTTCTTCCGTAACGCCACCGCCTCAGGCGAGTGGCAACCCACCATTCCGGCTGTTGATGAGGACGAAGAAATGGTCGGACAACAAAATATATATTCTCAGCTAATCAAACGAGACGAGAAGGATGAGGAGCTCCTAAATGCACCCAAACCACCAGAAAGTACTTTTGCTCGCCCAAGATCGAACGCTTCGAGCAGGGGAAGACCCAAAATACCGAGGTCAGGGGCGAGGTCTACCTCTAGAAGCAGCAGTACAGTCTCTATGATGGAGGTATGTTGGAATCCGAATCCTGGCTGCGCGCCTCAGGCGGAAGACAGATGCCCAGGAAAGGCCAACAAGCCCGAAGGCGCATGTAGGAACCCAGCGTGCAGGAACTGCTCGGACGCTTGCAACAAGTGCAATATACAATGGCTATGCACGGAGTGCTACCCAATGGACGAACACAACTGCACGTATCTCTTCTTGCAATCTGTCCAAGATCAGGCCAGGCTGGCAGAGGCTAACACTCAGGGAGAGCTTCTGACTACTGAGGCGAATCTGGCAGAAAGAGCTCGGATGGACAGGGAAGAGTTAATTAAATCTGTGACGAAGCCAGGAAAACGTTTGAGGCTGAACGGGTCGCCCTAGCCATGGCCGCTAGAGAGCGTGAACAAGTGCTTATAGAACACCTGTACAACCAGACTGAGGCCGTGAAATGGCAAGTGGAGAGGGAAGCGGAAGACAAATACAGAGAATTATTGACTTTGGAGAGAAGGCCCGTCATGATGGCGAACGAAGAATCTGCGGACGCTCACACGGTTGCCGCTGCTGTTGCGGTGGCAAAAATAGAAGGAGAACAAATCGCGACAGCCGTGGCGGAACGAGAAAAGCAGGGATTACAAGAAGAACTCAAAGCCGCCAGGCTGAAAGCAGACAACGCCCAAGCTGTAGCTGCGAAGCTAAACAGCCAGACCAATCTCTATATAGAAAAGCTTAAATCGCATGAGGAAGCCAGATCGTCTCTTCAGCGTATAATGTCGAGCGACAATAGATACCCGCCGGCTAAGCCGTTCGGGTCGAACATACACCGACTTTCGACGGCTCAGTCGTCGAGCATCGCGCCTGCCCATGCGCAGCTCGAACAGGCGACCGTGGCACATGCGGGAGCATCGACCATGCTGGTAGGAGGTGCCATACGCCCCCCTCCCGATGGGAATGGAAACACGCTTCCCGTGGACCAGTTTTGCGTCGTTTGCGGTCGACCGAAGACAGACGACTGCGTCGGATGTGGCAGCCCGGCCTGCAACGAGCATATCGATGCGAGTACGAGGAGATGCTCTAGATGCGACCTGTGGAAGAGTGAAAGGTCAGCGGCTAACATGCGAGAAGAAGAGATTGCATCGAACGCGGCTAACAGAGAGATAGGAATGATGAGGCCGAAGGATATCATCGCCGACCCGAATCCGCATACTGAAACAAAACGCGAAGTCGGACCCACGTCGAAGTCGTTCGGATTTCCGTTGTTTTCGCAAGAAACCCCCTTGAGACCGCTGTTACAACAACGTTATTCTGTCCCAGGACCTGCCCTTGAAGGTCCGGCTAAGCCGAGTACCGCTGATAGTGGACTCCCTGCTGGGATGAGGCTAACTGGACGTAGTGAAAACTACACCCTTGCCAACCACCGCGCAACCTACGGAGATGGCCCCAAGGGAAAGACGGCGACTCAGTCGCCCGGCAATGCAGGACAGGGCGGAGAAGATGATGACAAGAGCGACGCTCCCAACACTGCGATCGCATCTTCACTCGAAGATGATCGCAGTAGAGGACCGCGAAGATCGCTTCCGGGGGGCCCAGGAGGGTCAGACCCCTCTGATGGCGGGGGTGGACGCAGGGGGCCCCATGGCCCCGGCGGACCACACGACTCGATAGTAATTGACGAGAACACGCCCTTGGATCAGTGGAGACAGGTCGGTAACAATCAGAAAATTGATTTCTTGGACATCCCCGATGCACGAACATTCGCGAGTGGAAGATGCACGCAATACGCGCCAACGCTGGATCATCGCCCGAGAGCCAGGCTGCACAGCACTGGATTGCCGAGGCTACGGATCCAGCCGTGGAGGATGAGCAACTCAAGGAAGCCGGACGATTCCAGCGTCTCGACCTAATGATCGCAACGAATCTTATCGAGAAATTCAACAAGATGCGAAGGAGTCGATACCTGCCCCCTCATCCTATTCATTTCCTCCAACAGGTTTCTCGCATGGAATTCAGCGCCCAGGCCGAAGGAAGGCTCATGACTGGACGCGAGATGGTGCGGGCTATTTGTCACTGGTGTTCGGTCAGGTCGGAGTTGGGGCAACGTCGCATTTTGCGTGACCTCTTTAAAGTAAACATAGACCCGCACAAGCCTGATGCTGACCTGTACTATTTCTACAATGAATGGACAGAAGTATATCAACAGCGTTATGGCGCAAAGCCTCCGTCCGATGAGATGAGGGCCTCGATTCATGCACGCGTCATTGAGCAATGCAGAAAGCCGAACAAACTGGATTTTGTATGTAAGTTATATGACTTGTCAAGAGACAGACCGGGACAAGGTGTCAAAACTTACGAGTGGCTAATGCAGCAGATCGAAGAAATGATGTTGCGAGAAAAAGAAGAATGGAATATCAGCGCGCGTGAGGGAACCTTTAACCAACGTGCCCGACAAGCACGATTCGGCGGAGGCAACGACAATCGGAGGAACGCAGGCAACAAAGCCGCCCCGGCAGAGATTGCCACTAAGTTGGGACAATCCCCGGACGTCATGAAAAGCGGGAAAACCAAAGGTGAAACCACTTGCAGATACGTCACGAAAGGCGAAACTTGCCCGCATGCAGGAAAAGGCTGCCCCTTCAATCGCAAGAAGCCCAAGAACGCCGCGCCGGCTCAGCCGAGTGCGGGGCGAAAGCCCAGTGCTGCCCCTGCCCAGGATAAGAACCCGAGGGGTAGATCGAAGGACAGGGGCCGGAAGGGGCAGGGACGATCCCAGACCCCGACTGGAAACCGAGGGAAAGGAGGACAGCAGAAGAATAGAAGTCAGTCACGCGGGAAAGACAGTAATATTCCGTGTTACGCATACTCCCGAGATCCCACGAATTGTCGAGGACCCGAGGAC